TCCAACAAATATTTTGAGACCAAAAAATTAATGGCTTAAAACAACACCACTTAGTTGGCTCATGATTCTGCTGGGCAGTTCTGGTCTGGGACAACCTCCACTGATCTCCGCTAGACTCTCATCTGTCAGGGACCAGTTGGTGATTTAACTAGGGGCTGGCTAGTCCCAGATGGTCTCACTCACATTTGTGATGGTTATCTATCTGTTGACTGGGGCTGATGGGGGTCACTTGGCCACATATCTCTCATCATCTAACAGGCTACTTTAGGCATGTTCATATGGCAGGAAGATTCCAAGAGAAGCAAGGAGGAAAGCCCAGTGTGCAAGCTCTTTTCAAGTACTTCTTGCATTACTCGTGCTAATGTTTCATTTGCCAAAGTAAGTCACGGCCAACCCAGATTTAGGGAGTGAGAAAATAGACTCTGCTTCTTTATGGAAAGAGTGGAGAATTGTGGGCATTTTTACAATCTACCATAATGTCAACTTAAATTCAGACAGAAAGTGTAACAAACAACCAGAGAAAGAAAAAAAGTCACTGTAGGTTAGAGGAGTTGGCCCCTTGGAGGATGAGGAGAGATCGGAAATGGACCTCAGATTGCTGGATGGAGGGAGAGGAGTGCAAAGGGCATTATAAGATAGAGGACTCTACTTCTGTCTATCTATTAAAATCTTAAAGATAGAAATCACATGACCTTGCCAAGGGGATACACTCTGTGCCAGATATCCTCCTACCTCTTAATGTTAGTTACTTAAATGTTAGCATTACTCAGAGTTTTGTCCTTGCTCCTCCTTTATTCTTATTCTACACATTTGCGTTGGGTGATCTTATTCAATTTCGTGGCATCAACTCCCACCTCTTCAATGACATGTAGCTCTGACCTATGACTTCCATAACTGTATTTTTCAATGAATTCTTAGAAATCTCTGCTTATATAGCCTCCAAGTACTTTAGCCTCAGTATGTTCAAAGCCAAATTTATTTTCATGACTTAGTCTTTCTCCTGTTTTGCTGTTTTTAGTTACTGGTTTCACTTCCATCCTTTTACCTAACCTGGAAACCTAATTTCATAGTCATCCTTGTTGGCTTCTCCTTCTTCATTCACCACAAGTCCTAGTGATTCCATCTCCTACGTGTATTTTGTATCCGTACCCTCCTCTAGATTCCTACCCCATTGCTTTGGCCTGGGCTCCCAATGCTCTCCCCTGACCTCTGGCAGCAACCTCTTAATGAGTCTACCTCAAATAGTTTCACCCTACTCCACTCCATTCAGGATACACTTTATAAAACCCAAGTTTGCTTTTTTCATTCCTCTACTTAAAACTGTAATCTCAGTCCCTATTGCCTACAAAGCTAATTCCTTAAAAGCATGGCTTACCAAGTGCTTAGCAATCTGGCCCCGCCTGATTTTACCATCATCATCTCCTGCCACTCTGCCCCACCCCATCCTCCTTCTCTCCAGCCTCACTTAGCTTCTCACTATTCCCCACCAACAATGCATGCCCTTTCACAATCCTGGGACTTGGCCCATGTTGTTTACTCTTCCTGGATTGCTAGCCCTCTCTTCTCCATCTGGCAAATTCTTATTCATCAGCACAGCTCATAAACCCATCACTTCCTTGCTGATGACTTCCTGGAGCCATACAGAGTTAGTCACTTTTATGTTCTCGTAGCCTTTTCCTCTTTCCTTTGGCAGTGGCCATCTTTCATGCTTTTGAGGGCCTAGACTATTTTATGTGCTATGGGGTGTGCTATGTTTGGCAAGTTTTTAGCCACATGAATTCCATCTCTCTGAAGTAACACCCAGAAAACTTAGATTTCCCTTGCAGCTAGGAAGCTGTTAAATGACCCAGGCTCCCCCCATCAGATGTGCCTTCATAAAACTCTTCCTTTAGAAGGGAGCAGTATATGTGTAAGTGGGGTGAGGTGGGGGGCTGATCTTCTATCAAGAGTAACTAGAACAGGCCTTTGATTCTTGGGGTGACAGTAGCAGGATTGCCTGCGTGAAGCCCCTAGTGTGGAGAGGTGAGAATGGTATGGCCAGACCAGCTCTCTCGGGTGGTTGGGCATGTTTAGGTTTCAGAGTCTGGCTCTCTGGCTCTGTGGCCTATTCTATGAGCCACCTAAATGCTGTGATAAATTAATTTATTGCTCAAACAAGTCTAAGTAGATCTGTTTTTGCAATGACTGAAAACTAGCGTAACACCTTGGTTAGAACACTTATCAAGTTTTATTGGACAAGTTGTAAATTATTTAATCAAGTTGTGTTGTATTTAGGTGCCTGTTTCCCTCATTAGATTCATCACAAGTGCTGTATGTTATGCTTTTATGCATAGCTCTGATTTCTTATATAATTCATCTAAAAATATACATTGAGTGCCTACTCTGTGCCATGCACTGTGCTAGTCACTGGGGATATAATTGTGAAAAAGACACACGTGGTCTTTGCAGTTACAAAGTGTGCAGTCTAAAATATCAATGCCTGAAACAGTCTAGGTGTTCAATGAAGTTAGTATACCAGTTTATTTGATTATTTCAATTAATGAACATCTATGTCTTAAAAATATAAAAATAAATGAGAAATGTCCTTAAGTTTCTCTCGGGCTAATATGGGACACAGATATGTAAATAAATAACATCCATGCCATGTGAACAGTGTGATAACTGAAATATGTTCCAGATTCACTCGTGGCTCAAAGGGGGGGTGGCTTGAGGAATTCTGCTTGGAGGAATCAAAATGAAAGAATGAATTTCCGAACTTGTAAATATTTGAGTAAATGTGCATAAAACTTCCTCTTTCTCTTTTCCCCCTTCCCCCTTTGCTTCTCTTCTCCTTTCTTCCTCTTCCTTTCTCTTCCCCATTCCTTGTTATTCCCCTTGCCCTTTAAGGGTCAACTCAAGGGCCATTTTTGTAATAAATCTTTACTAACTGCTCCTCTTCCTCCCTCCCAAACTCCCAGGCTGAGGTAGTAATGTTCCCAAACTCCCATAATGCTTTGCACATTCCTCTACTAATTCTCTTCCCTTTTGATGTATATCATCAATGTATCTGTCAGTCACACCCAACTGCTGCCAAGTCAGGGCTGGGCACATAATCAGCCTACAATAAATTCAACAAATGTTTCTTGAGGAAAACATAAATTAAAATTGTAATGAGATACCACTACATACATCCTCATCAGAATGGCCAAAATAAAAAGGATTGATAATGTCAAGTGTTGGTGACAATGTAGAAAAATTAGAGATTTCAAACATAGCTGACACAACCATTTTGGGAAATTACTTGGCAAAATTTACTGAGCTGAACATATGTGTACGCTATTACCCAGAGATTGAAGTCTTGGGTATATATCCAAAAGAAATAAATGCTTATGTCTAAGAAGGTTCATATCAGCTTGATTCATAACAAACAACCTAAATGCCCAACCACAGATGGGATAAATTAACTGTGGTATATTCATATCACAGAATAGAACACAATATTTTTTATTCAAAACGAAAAACTGCCACATGCCACAAGATGGATGATTCTTATAGACTAATACTGAGCAAAAGAAACTGGATACAAGAAAAGTACATATTGTGAATCCATTTATATGAACTTCCAGAAGAGGCAAATTTAATCTCTGGTGATAAAGTTCAGACTAATGGTTATCTTTTACCGAAGGGAGGGTAAGACACTAGAAGGGGACAGAAGAAGGACTTCTGAAGTTTGGGAAATACTCTGTATTTTATAATGGTATATTTAAAAGCCACACACAGAAGGATTTTCTGGGACAATGTTAACTGCCCTTCATTAAAACCATTTTATACCCCCAAGCGCATAAATGTTTAAATATGTAAACATTTGAGTTATATACTTATGATCTGTGCATTTGATTTACTGGATGTAGGTTATACCTGATAACAATATAAGTATTTAAAAATTAAATAAAAGTAAAAGTTCTTTAAATGAGTGAGTGAATGAGTAAATGAGTTGGGTCTTTAAAGAGAAAAGAAGGTATTACAGTGTAAGAGGGACTCGTACTGCATTTAATTTTTAAGCAGCAGTGCTTGGCTCTTGAGCTCTTTATACTCTAATAATGCCCCAAATAATTGCTCATGTACTTCTTTTGCTTTAAATATTAGTTGCCTTTGATATTTAATCACAACTGTGAGGTTAAGGAAAGAAAGTCATTAACAGTAAAGCAGATAATGAGAACCTCGTGGGACTGGCATTTAATTCACGGTGAGGGTTCTATTAAGCCCTTTGGGAACTGGGGAATATGCCTAATTCTCTTCTGTTTTTTACCCTTATGCACTTTATGAGATGCAAATACAAATTAATTATTTAGACTCTTGAAGGGAGAGGAGAGGAGTTGGCACGCGTGTTTACAAAAAGGAACGGAAGCCACCCAGCGTGTGACATTGCCCAAGCCACCCAAAGGTCAGAGTGGAATAATCCTAATTGCCGGGTGGCCCCGCCACGGGATGCGCCTCTCCCATCCTTCTTCAGGTGGGGCTCCTGGGTAAATCACTCATTCTGCCAGCCTGACACAGGCCAACAAGTGGCCAACAACTCCGCAGGCGACGGACGGCACCTTCACCTGAGGCGCTGTCGAAATCTGACCCAGCTCTGGCTCCCAGCCCAGAGGCGGCGGTGCGGCGTCAGGAGACGCAGTTCCGAGGGCGTCCAGAAGGCGTCGCTGCCCCGCGGCCGCCGCACGTACCCAGACCCGGGACGGGGGGCGTGTCGGTTCTACCTGCGGCGCCGGGCGCGCGCGCCGCACCTGGGCTCGCACCTGGTGCCACCCTCGCCGCGTGGAGGCGCTGCGCCGCGGCCAGGCAGTCGCCTGCGCCCAGAGGGCTCGGGCGGCTGTGCTGCTCGCGCTCCGGCTCTGTCCTCGTCCTCTAACCCTCTGCAGTGCCCCGCACCGGCGACGAGGGGGCGGGGTCCGACGGCGCGCTGGGAAAGGCGGGCGAGCTGGCGCCCAGGTATGTTCTTCCACAAGGGCCGGGCGGCGGCGGAGGAGGCGGACAAGAAGATGCCACTGTCGCCGCCACCTCAGGGCCACCACGCGGAGTCCAGTCCATCCAGGACCCCCAAGAAACACACCCCTTTCCATATCTGGCGCTCCAAGAAGAAGCAGCAGCCTCTGCCGTCTGACTGTGGGGTGTTCGTTCCGCACCCGCCCCCGGCGCCCCTCTGCGAGGCCAGGTAAGCTCCTCGCCCGAGCCCTCGAGTCTCCCCTTCCCTCCCGTCATCTACCCCCAGCTCTGCTGACCCCGAATTCTCACCGCACTCGGAGGAGGGAAAGGGCCCAGGGTGCGTTTCCCCCTCTCAGGAGTGTTAACAGGGTCCAGAGGGGCACAGGCTTGGCCTCTGCGGGTTCCTCGTGGCCTCGGGTTCCTTGTGGCTTCTGGCTCAGGCCAAGCACCAGCGAGAGGAACGTGTGCCCACCCATGTGGCTTTTACTTTGACTGGCAAAGACTTTAGGCAAGAGTTCTATCTACACTAACCTGCTAAGGAGAGCAGGAGGGTAGTGAAGGATTATTGCTATAATGAATGATAGGAGCTCTACCTTGGAATTATACAGTACTTTGGACAATGGTGCCTTTATTGTGAAGATCTCCACTCTTACAGATCTCCACTGACCTCACAGGATCCGCAAGGAGGAGGAAGTGGCAGGGATGGTTACCCACATTTTACGGGTGGAGAACCTGAAACCAAAAGGTGAATGGCTTGTCCCCGTTGGAACCAGTGTCAGAACTAAGCTAGTGTAGGCAGCCCCTAGTTATTAAAAATGTAATTGCCGTTGTGCTTTTTAAATTTTTATCAAAACTTTGTATTATTCAATTATACTAGCTGAACAGATACATTCATTGAACAATAATCAATTTGAAGTACCAATCTATTTATGTGGTTTGGAAGTATAAAATATTTTTAATGAAGAGCAGTTGGCAATATCCAGTAATTCCTGCTGTACATATTTTTAAAATACACCCTTATGAACTACGAGGCTCAGAATAAAATAGTGCAAAATTTGCATTTTAGATATATTTTCCTTTTATTTCTACAAGAGTCTTAATTCTGCAATATATTTTCATTCACTTAGTAAAATTTTATTGGGCATCTTCACTAAGTGCTGGGATATAAAAAACAATGAACATGGCCCCTGTAATCAAAGAATTCTTAGTTTCCCGTGGAGACCAATAAGTAAAGAGTGGGATGAATCCTACAATAGATGTTAGCACAGAGGTGGGGATCCAGGAAGCCTTCCTGGAGGAGGAAGGCTGAAGTAGTTTAGTCAGAAAAGGGGTGCAGCAATGACTTCCAGGTTGAGATTGCACTATGAGCATCACCAACACTGGGAAGAGCATGGCACTTCCTGAGAAACACAAGTGGTTCAGGATGGTCCGAGTATGTTTGAGGGAATGGAAGAGGAGTGCTACGAAAGAAGGCATTTTTTTTCTCATATTTTTATCATCCATGGTAATAATTGGTTGTAATAGAACATACTTTTATCTATTCAAAGACTTAACTTGCTTAATCACCAATTGAAATTTCCTTTTTTAAAAAGATTTATCCATTTTATTATTTATTTTCCATTTATTTTAGAGAGAGAGAGGGAGAGAGCATGCGTGGGGGAAGGGGTAGAGGGAGAGGGAGAGAAGCAGACTCCCCACTGAGTGTGGAACCCACCCTCACGGGGCTCCATTCCCACCACCCCGAGACGTATTGACACTTAACTGACTGAGCCACCCAGGTGTCCCCAATTGAAATTTCTTTAAAAAAATGTTACTTAATAATGATGTACCCTTCATTGAAGTATTTTTCCTATTACTTCTGTAAATATTTTAAACACTTCCTTGATGGTTTTTTTTATCTGACATACCCCCATCACTTCCTGTCTATCAAAATGTAATCATACACAGTTATAGACAATGTATTCAAATCCAAGTACATTTTAGACTGAAACTTAAAATAGGAGCTTTTGCTTCTCTCCTCAAGTATCTTGTATTTTTGTTCAGTCTTGAAGCACTCTATTCTTTCCTTTGGAACTGTGATGAACTTTGTACTAACAAATGTTCTGAAAACTAAGCACACTGGTCTGTCTTTGGGATGTTTTCCTAGTTAGATCATCTTCCTAAATATTTTGTTTACTTCTGAGACAGTGTACCTGTTTCTAGTCTAAAGAGCGTGGCTAAAGCACACTTAGGTTTCTGGCCCATCTTGACCAGTGTGGCTCTCTTGAACCGTCTGACTGAGTCCATTCACTTCTGTTCAGGACTTGAGGTGGTGGAAGGAGGCAAGATGTGCCGCGCTCGCTGTTGGTCTTTGTCTCTGTGTGAGGAGCGGACCCGTCGGGTGGCCACATGTTTTTGCTGGGCATATACCATTAATATTATGGGCTTTTAGAGCAAACAAAAAATGAATTTATTATCCTGGCTGTGTGACCTTGGGCAAGTTACTTCACCTTTCTTAGTCTCCGTTTCTTCATTTCAAAAATGGGAAAAACAGTAATATTGACTCTGTAGAGCTGTTGTGAGTATCAAATGATAGTTTATGCTTTAAATGTAAAACTTTTATCAGACTTATGGGCACAAAGTAGAAACTCGGTAAATGTAAAATCATCGTCCTTATCATCATTATCATTGTAAATGCCAAGATCTAATGGAAGAAATAGAAAGAAATAGGGTTGGATGGTGGGGAAAAATGCTTCTCTTCCTGCAAGAGCTTACCACTTCAGTGATGGTTTAAAGTTTACTGAGGTCAGATTTCTGTATTCTGCAAATATTTGCAGCTTTCAGTGTAGATGTTCTAAAAATCAATAAGGGTCATTTTCTTTCTTTATGTAAAATAATTTGAACACTGGCTGCCTCTCTTCCTAAAATTCACCCTTACGATTTTTTTCAGCTTGGTCTTGGTAAACGTGTTAATATGTTATTTTTCATAGAAAGAGAGCTGTTGCCCTCCTCGGCAGCCCGTCTCCTGTGTAGTCCATTAATCTTTAGCCATCAGGGGGCCCAGGGGAGAGGACACAGTTTGGGCATTGGGAGCTGTGGCCTGACTTGCGTTAGTAGCCAATAGTGGTACTCATTTATGATGTTTTGAATTATACTCCATTTTTAATTTTTTTATTTTTATTTTTTTAAAGACTTTATTTATTTATTTGACAGAAAGAGACACAGCGAGAGAGGGGACACAAGCAGGGGCAGAGGGAGAGGGAGAAGCAGGCTTCCCGCCAAGCAGGGAGCCTGATGTGGGGTTCGATCCCAGGACCCTGGGATCATGACCTGAGCCAAAGGCAGATGCTTAACCGACTGAGCCACCTAGGCGCCCCATACCCCATTTTTTAAACAGTTTATTCAGAGGGGGGATTCTCTACCTGGGTTTAAATCCCTGTTCATCTACTTACCGCAACAGCCATGTCATCCCGGGCAAGTTATTAACCTTTTTGTGCTCCAGTTTTCTCATCCATAAAAGGGGCATAATAAGAGTTGTTATAAAAAA